GAAAGCAGCCATTAACAGCGCTGCTGAAGGCGCCGTTGGGTTCGTGGAGCGGAATCGAGGGAACGATTGGTTTGACGAAGAGTGTCAAATGGTTTTGGACGAAAAGATCTTTTCCGGGATAAGAAGCGCCGTCTGGAAGAGCTGGAGTGCGAAGAAATGGAGCACGCAAGTTCTACAAGAAACTCAACGCATCCCACACCGCCGTTTATCCCCGCTAGCAAGCAGATTTGTGGGAAGTTATCAAGCCGGTTTTGTGGACGGGCGATCGACAACGGACCAAATCTTTACGTTGCGGCAGATCCTCCAAAAGTGTCGTGAATATGAAGTCCCTACGCATTACCTATTCATCGATTTCAAGGCCGCTTATGATACTATTGACCGTGAAGAGCTATGGAAGATTATGGACGAGAACGGTTTTCCCGGGAAGCTGACCAGACTGATCAGGGCTACGATGGATGGTGTACAGAGCTGTGTGAAGATATCGACAAGGCGATGGTCTTTCCTGCCTCCTGTTCAACTTTGCGCTAGAAGGCGTTAAGAAAAATGCAGGCTTTAATATGCGGGACATGATCTTCAATAAGTCCAGTCAGTTCATCTGCTTCGCTGATGACGTGGACATTGTCGGAAGAACGTTTCAGGCCGTGGCGGAGCAGTACACCAGGCTGAAACGTGAAGCAGAGAAGGTTGGATTAAAAGTGAATACGTCGAAGACAAAGTATCTTTTAGCTGGAGGAACCGAGCGGGATAGGGCTCGCCTAGGCAGAAGCGTGACAATCGACGGGGATGAGTTCGAGATGGTGGATGAATTTATGTACCTCAGATCATTGGTGACGTCGGATAACAACTGCAGCAGAGAAATTCGTCGGCGTATTATTGCCGGAAGTCATGCTTACTACGGACTCCACAAGACCTTGAGGTCGGGTAAACTTCACCTCCGTACTAAATGTACCATGTACAAGACGCTAATAAGACCGGTAGTTATCTACGGGCACGAGACGTGGACGATGTTCGAGGAGGACCTGCAAGCACTGGGTGTTTTCGAACGACGAGTGCTTAGGACCATCTTTGGCGGGGTATGTGAGAACGGTGTATGGAGGCGAAGAATGAACCACGAGCTGGCGCAACTCTAAGGCGAACCCTGTATCCAGAAAGTTGCGAAAGCTGGACGGGTACGATGGGCGGGACACGTTTTAAGAATGCCGGACAATAATCCCGAAAAAATGGTGTTTGCCTCGAATCCGGCCGGTACAAGACGAAGAGCACATGTGCGAAGAGGAACACAGCGAGCAAGGTGGTTAGACAAAGTGGAGCAGGATCTTGAAAGTGTGGGATGGTCAAAAAATTGGAGACAAGCAGCCACGTACCGAGTGCATTGGCGCAACATTGTGATGCAGGTCCAATCCTGAGGGATGTCGGACCAGGATAAGTAAGTAAGTAACTTAATGCATGCTCCGCAATAGTCGAACAGTCGTAACTATAAAAACGATAACTTTAAACGTCAATTTACCGAAACTGCAGCTCACTTACCAGCATCAGGTTGGCGAAATTTTTCCCTAAATGATGATGGTGCTAGTTTTCGTTGCTAGCAGTTTCGACTAGGGTAGGACTGGGCAAAATCGTCACCCTAAGGTTAACATAATGCTTATATGCAATAATCGCAATCAATACATTCAATTATTTTCTGTCCTAGTTCAATATTGTCTTCTCTAGCTTCCTAGGGTTGATAAAGTTAATTGTATTCAAATTTGATTATTTACTAAATGAATTAAAAAAGTTACTTTTTTATACCATTCTCATACACCTCGGGGCACGGGGGAAGACGTGCTCTTTTAGCAACATTTGTTTTTGTATGATATTTTTAGTTTTTATGAATTATATTCCATAGTTTATCGAAATAAAATACCAGTACGATCTAAATCATTTTTAGACGTTGCATCTTAGGATCATTGTTTAAAGATACGTATATGCAGCTAACAAAATTATAGGATTTTGGATCGAATATACAAGAGTGCTCATCTTCCCCTGGTGGTGATCTTACCCCGTCCTACCCTATTTGATGTTTGAGGTCATTGTTTACAAAAGCAGCTATGATCAATTTACAATTTGTTCTCAAACTAACTAGCCTCCAATTTGCAAACTCTATTATACGAGAAAGGAACCTGTCCCCGGTAGGTGGATCAATCAGGGTTTTTTTTTTAATGAACTGACTACACGAACAAAACCCAACACTTACGATAAGTCAGTCATTGAATGCGTCTGCCGGAGATAAAAAGGGTTGATTTTATGGATTTTAATTGTTATCTACGCGTACAGTAAAATGTGATGCTTCTTCCAAACGTTCAAATTCTTCGTTCGGATTCCTATTGTCTGTGTACGATTCCGGTACAGTTTTTGCAGCCAACCTCTGTCTGTCCAGCCGGGAAGGAGGAGTGAGTTAAAGCCTTTTGGCAAAAAGTACCCCTAACTTCTACATTCAGGAACAATGGAACCCTGCTATCTGGATCAGGATTTACGAGTCAATTGAGAGTCATTTTAAAATGAGTGTTTATACCATCAACGCCACACAGCAGGAATGAAAGAGCACTTCGTTGTCCACCATATTTCTCCGTCAATGGGTGAGAAGGGAGATCTAATATTTTCCAATCAAATATTCATGACTTTTGGGGAAGTAATTCCCCGGCACTGCAGGGAATTATCCGTCCGTTGGTCACTCTCCGAGGATTGAATTGTCTACAGGCGAGAATTAAGAAATTATCGTTAAACCCATCTCATCCATACAATTTAGCTGCTTGACCATTTAGAATTTCGTTATCTGTTGGTCGCAAAAAACAGCAATCAACAAAATGTCATTAAATACAGCAGAAAAACATGTAACTGATTAAATTTCCAATAACTTTCCCACAATTTACCGAGCCCATTTAAATTATAAATTTTGTTCTCGAAAAAAAAATGTGCTTTTCTCGTGCGGTTAAGCTGCGGAATGGGACAGCAAACATGCGATCAATGATTTAGTGGCATTATGCGCTCACGCGCCGGAAAGTATGCAAATGGTTGCAGTAAATTATGCACTATGTTCGTGGTCATTCGGCTGCTGGTGCTCGCTCGTACCTACATAAACTGTCACCGATTGCACGGAGCCTGGTGGTAGTGTGTTTGTAGTTGACTCTCCAGGCAGTAGTGGTGGGATTGTGGCCAATATGCAAATGGCGACCGCAAAGGATATTTATCGTTTTAAATAAACGGCGCGGCTCTGGTTGGGTACACACTTTTTTGTGTTCAACGATGCGTATGATCTTATCGGAACTGGCTGAACAAACATGCGGTTTGGAATTTGCAATAAATTGATGGAATTGTCTCATTAACTCAGTTTCCAGAAATCTCGATTAACGTGTTGTATGAAATACCGTGATAGATTACGTGTGTTGCTATGAAAGTTTTGTTTTTTTTTAACCTAAATGTTTGTTAATTAAATATTTTTCTTTTTTTTTCTTTTTCAGGATTATGGATTATCAGTGAACAAGCAGTCCGGAATACTAAGGATTATGTGATAGTGAATACTCTTGGATATAACACGAATCCATAGCTTGCTGATACAGGTAATTTAGAGTAGTCATTCAAAAAAAACTGTTGGATAATTGATTCCGTTATTGTAATTGTAAGATTTTTGAGAGCATGCGTAACTGCAATATGAATCAAACAGCCCTCTTTTTGACTAATGAAGCCAATGGCCATTAAGGCGGTATCTCAGGCGGCTTCTTTGTTGCTCTTTATGTTTGTTGTTGCTTGGGTTGCTCAACTCACTCTCTTCGCGTCTGAGTACACTCAATTTATTTCGGCCATAATTTACTTTTATCAGCTAATTTATTAACCAACCCATGTTCGAAAAGAACAGTGGTCCGAAATTTATATGTTTGTATATCGAAAAATGTAAGAAACGGAACGAAATGACGGCGGCGCGCCTTCGTCTGGATAAACAATGCACGATGCGATGAAGATTCAAGATCAACATGCATGTGTGGGTTCATCGCCACTGGCCTGACGCTTGTTTTGCTTGGAGTTAACTAGCACCGTTCAGAAGAATGTTTCGAAAGTTAATTTAATTAAAACTTTTGTCACATATTGACGAACATTCGATCGTACATTGTGTGAACAATTTTCTTTAACAAACACAACTATCAAATGTGCTTTGGCAGCTGGAATTTAAGAAGATTGCACTTGTTACACGATCAGAAATCAAGCAATTTGCATTCAAATTACCACCAGGACCTATCATTTGTTCTCTCACTTTTCATCATATTCTAACGATTATTATTATTTACGCAGATAATTATGTAATGAGAACGCCTTCGTTCCAGCCCCAGAACATTTAAACAGCGAATATGGACGGGAAATTTCTCCGCCCGAAAAAACTGCACAATCACGCGAGGCATGTTCCGAAGACTCATCAGACCGAGGAAAAAGATGGCCTCTTGAACGGCTCATTGCCTTTAGCTTCGGAGCGTTGAGTGCGTGGAGTAATTTCTCAAGGATCTCCGCCTCGAACTTTCATTGTCTTAGAACGGGGAACATTCATGATGGCGTTGATGGTGATGATGATTGAGGCCAGCATCGTCACGAACGCGAAACGTGAAGCAAACGGTAGCAGCGTGTGCCTAATTGTCTGCCTTCCCGAGAGGAACATGTGAGCTCAATATCGCTTCCAGGCACACTTTTCTGCGGTTAGTGTAATGAAAAGAAAAGGCATTCAATTTTACGGCACTCGAAAAACAGTGTTGAGAACTAATTGCCATCGGTAATTATGGGTCAGGGCGCATTTTGGCGTGGCATCGACATTGATATTAAAAATAATTACTATTCATTACGGATGGAAAATCTTTCAAGCCGAAATGACGGAAGATCGGATTGGAATTGGTGCTTCCTTTTAAAGAATGATTTAGGAGAGATTTTTTTATTCTAAGATTGCTCGAAAACAAATATTGTGTAATCTCTTATTTAGCCACAACTTTGCGCAGTGGCGATATCGTAACCAATGAGGTACAACCGAGGTGCGATTATTGCTAGTTGAAAACTTATTTAGCCACCTTCTCAGCGCACAAGGTATGCACCGTACATTGTTTGAGTCATTGTCACCTTCGTGTGCAGACTGAACAAGCTTCAAAATTATAACCTGAATCATCTAATAAATATTAATCAAACAGCAATAACTTAAGTAAAATTTGAAAATAATTCATTCTCACCGCGCGATACTTATGCAGATGCGAGCCGCGTCGAATTCTCCTTCTTTCGTATCCAATCGCTCGTTCCAATCCGAGGACACTGTCAGTGGGGGAAAAATAGTTATAAGACAAGAATTAATGGTCATCCGGTGAGGCTCAGGTGCTGGAATAGAGAATTGTGTACCTTGTTCCAAAACGAAGAAACGTAATTTAGACATTTGCAGCCATCGCACATACTATTTTTTTTTTTTTTTGGTTTTCTGCTTCTTTGTGACCCATTGGCAGCGTGGGATTGAAAATATATTGACCCCGGTCACGAACCAACCTGGAGAGTCTTCCAACCACCGTACCACACACAAACTCACTGTCCTACGGAGCAACACATCCTCCCTGCCGTACCCCTGTTTACAGCACATTCCTGAGGGAACAAGGTGACGTGTAGTTTATTTCTTTCGATAACGAGATTCTAATTCGTAACGGCTGACAGCAATACGAGAATTGAACATGCAATCCCAGCGTGACGGGAATTGTATGTTTCGCGATTTTCGCGAGAAGCATGCTCGATTGCTTAATTTGTTGGCTCAACTCAAGACGGGTTTTGCTCTTGAACAACAAACTGGAAATGATGGTGGTGGTCTTGGCTTTCGACATGATCTGAAATTTAAACTGAAATAAATATTTTCTGCACTTCTCCACTCATGTGGCTCATGGATTCGATTGCAGCTCGAATGAACGATGTGAAAGCTACCAAGTGGGATGAAAAATAAACACCGATGTTAACAAAATTTTCGTGCTTTTGGGTAATAAATCAGACAATAACAAATGAAACACGGTTTTTCCGTTGGTGAAAACTTTGTTACATCTAATGGATTCGTGGAGGAGGATCATTATGAAGAAACATGTTGCGAGCTTGCAATGGTTATGACAGAGCTAGAGCTAAGGCTTCAAATTATGGTTCTAGCAATTGATCGTGGACGGCAAGGTAAAGCTTTCAACTCTGTAGTATAGGCTGTTGTATTCAGTGCTTTATTACATTATTATTATTTACGCAGATAATTATGTAAGGAGACCGCCTTCGTTCTAGCCCCCACAACATTTAAAAATCAAATATGGACGGGAAATTTCTGCGCCTGAAAAACTGCACTATCTCGTGAGGCATGTTCCGAAGACTCATCAGACCGAGAAAAAGGATGGTCTCATGAACGGTAACATTTATATTTTTGTTGTTGTTGAAGTCTTAAATGGCATCGGAGGCTTAATACTTCAGTGGATCACAATTCCAACTGAAGTGATGGTTAAGTATCTCTGATTACATCTTCAGCAAGGAAGTAAAGCGACTCGACCCATATGTTGATCGGTTTAGTATCTTCAGTGAACTCTTTGAACTTTTTTTCCTTGATTTGTTTTCCGTACTGAGCACGAATGCTACCGACGCCAGGGAAGCAGCCTCCACTCCTGGATCCTACCTATCGACCCATCAAACTCACCGGGGACCAACAGCTTTACTTCCCTTCCGAAAGGAAGGCGTGATCAGAGATTTTATGTCTCAGAAAATCCCGGCGGCGCCTTCTGGGATTGAAACCCAGGCCTTTTGGGGTGAGAGGTAATTACGCTTACCACTACACTACACTACACTACACTGTTTCTTTTAACTTAAAATGGTCCTTCTTTCAGCTGTTTTTAAAATTGGTGGTTCTGAAATTATTTTATTTAGAAAAACTAACTTTCCTATTTTTGAAAACAAAGACGTATTAACAATGGGAAACGGTGTAGCTGAGAAGATTTTGTTTCGACTGATTGATTGGAATTGATTATTTGGGTGAGAAAGGTCGCAACCATACGGCCGAAACATCGAGAACGTAATAACCGTTTCTACTATAGTACTGAGTAAGCCACCCCAAAATACAGTTCTGATGAGTATTTCCAGGAAATCCTGAAACTCCAAAAGGGTCCTGAAAAGAGTTACAATCTGATAATAGTAGCCGAATTCCCATTCAGAGGATAGTTTCTTGCGAATCACGAGAGAACGTAAAATAACTTAAAATACTCATTTTTGGGTACAGGATTTTCAGTTTTATGGTGAATCAAAACGCTACGATGTTTCATGTCCGACGTTTCACTCTTTCCAATTGACTTTCTTCATGGGGTATAAGTTTATACCATCTTCCGTTCAGCGCAAAAAGTTGTACGATCCATTAAAACTGGTCCTGATGATGATCTCAACCCATCAAATTTCTCAAAATTTCTCTGAATTTCCCCGAGAATTTCTCTGAATTTTGAACCGTAATTTTCCTGAAATTCATTGATCTATCCAGAAGTTTCTAAATTTTCCTAAATTTTTCGAGTTCCTTTAAAATCTTTAAACTGAACTTCAATGGACTTTCCTGAAGTTTTCGTTCCTCCATTACAATGTTCTCTAAATTATCAACAGTTTCTCAGAAGCTCCTTTACGTTCAAACAATTTTCCTGATATTGATGGAATTTCCCTCAAAACCCCACAATAATCCCGTAATTTTGACGAAGGACTACGCCTGTGATTTCTATGTGGGGGTATACTTTGTGAAAACCAAAAATGGAACATGTAAAAAATTATGAAAGATTTGGAACGTTAATAACTCAGCTGCCCCTGGACCAATTTCAAAAATTGTATCACCAATGGATCAGAAATATTTCTACGCATCTGCTGAATTTAAAATTTCACCATTTTTCAAAATGTCACTATTGAAAATTGCCCGAATGTGCAACTGTTTCTATGATAGTTAAAATTATCACCGATTGCCTGCGAAAAGTGATTTCCCTAACACGGATTTCAAAGTTGAATTCCATCCGGTCTCACCACACGGTGTTGGCGTTCTTCAGTACACAACGAAAGGCTACCTGCAAGCAGCGAGCTGCAGCTCACATGAGCATTCATAGAAGGAAGAAGAAGAAGCACCGCTATTGATCGGAATCAGAAGCTCTTCGTGAGTCGCTGTGGGCCATCTATGCCAAGCGCGTCATGCTAAAGAGTATAAACAGAGAGAAACCCGCTCAAATTCTTATTCCTACACAAAACACGAGCTCCTACTACAGTTAATAAATAAGATTTATTATATACGACCACGTAGTCCTACGTCACCATTGCGTACAACCACAGAGAGCTATCCCTTGTAGTTTTTTAAACATTGCTGAGATTTTTGAATTATCTATAACTTCTCGGAAACTGTTGAAAGTTCCAGCAATTTATAAAAGAAATTGGTGTTGAGCACTTGGCACTGATGATGTCTGCAAGTAGTAGACGAAATACGCGTATCTGTCAAAAGATAAGCAATTATAACGGAATTTAAAGGAAATAAACCAATACACTCAAAGCTCTTCATAAAGAAACTGCTTTAATGATCTCTGACCCAGGCATACCAAAAGTACCGCCTCATGACAGTATTCCAACAGCTGTCGCATTCTTTTTTTCTACGACAGCCTTGAGATTGAGCTATAAGCGACAGCCCACAGTGAGGCTGTTATACGACATGCAACGTTGCCGTCTTGTGCAGTACACGACAGCTCGTTCTTAGTCATATATTTTGTTCGTTCGGATATGACAGCCTCGAATGGTCATTCGTAACGTTCCTCGTACATACAACAAGCAGTCCGTCAAACTGCCGATTCGTTGATGCTGTTTTTGAAATTTTGTTTGTATGTCGTAAGACTGCTATTACACTACCAGTGTGGCGTCGTGCTGCCCATTGCAAAATTTTCATCCGATATTTTTTTTAAAACGCGCGGTCTCCGGCGAAAAATATAAGCCTACCCGACACCAACCTGACTTCTACCAAACCCCAACCCGATGTTGGCCCGACATTGACCCGACATAAACACAGAATTTACCCGACATCGACCCGACATTTGGCCGACGTCGACCATAAATTGACCTTACATTGATCCGACATCGGGCCGACATATCTGTTCGGGATCATTATTCTGGGTTTCTTCCATACTCCACTGCCGTATATCAATTGTATATAACGTCTCGTAACAGCCTTTTCGTGACAGCCACTTGGGTAAGCTGAGGGATGTCGCCGGTTTGTGAAGGCTGTTATGACGACAGAAACATTGAGAACCTGGTCATAAAGAAATGTATAAATACAGTCCATTCGGTTCACTACGTTCCAAGCACGATGATTTTAGCAAAGCGGGTATAGCTGCGACTGTTCTAATACAGCTTTCATTCGTTCGTGCGTGCGCTGTTGCCAATACTCTTCGAATTCAGATCTGAACGTACGGTAGCAACCCGAGCAAAGTCGGTTAACAAAATGAAAGCAAATCGATATTAAAGTGTGCAGTTCCTATCATAATAAAAAACTCATTTTGATTTCAAATGTTGCGACATAAGTCTGATATCATATTGTGCTTTCATTATGCAGTCAAGACTTTTTAAATGAAAGCAACTTAACTTGAAGTTCTGCTGTTTACGTCTTGTTTAAAATTTAATTGAAATTCATCTGTCGTTGAACTAATGATTATTGTTTATTTGATTTGTTTAACACATTTTAGGTCATTCGTGACTTGCCCGGGGTGAGATTGGAGCCCAAGTCTTTCAGCTTGAGAAACATGAATGCCATGAGCCATTTACTCCAGGCCCGTATTCAGTTGAACATTATGAATTCAAAATCAGTAACCAAATTGATTTCATTGAAAGCAGGATTAGTTTTCCGTTTGCTTCAACAGTGTAAAATTTTGCTCTCATTTTTGCTGTGTTAACCGTTAAGTCAACCAAAATGAGATCAACTGAAGTATTCAAAATAAGTTACATCATAACAGCAAATTTTGATTTCAATTTGATCTTCAGCTTTGCTCGGGAAGCGGCAGTAAAGCACACAAAGCAACAGTCAATTCATGTATAAACCAACTGTCGCGAGGAGGCTGTACTATTTGGAAGCCTGCTCTGAC